CCCCTCACAGTAAAGAATTTATTTCTTATATCTCATCTAAATCTCCCGTCTCTCAGTTTGAAGCCATTACCCCTTGTTCCTATCACTACAGCATGCAGCTGACTAGGAGCTCTGCAAACATCTTCTCACTATTTTTGTCTGACGGTATTTTTTCCTGGACCGGAGCTGCACAGCATCTTAATCCCACATGTGTGAGCCCAGCACAAATCCACCACCCGTCCCCAGAGACCTGGACGCGCTGCACATGTGCGCAGTGACTCATCACACACCTCAGCAAGCCCCTGGGTCCACTTTGACCAACCCTGCCCAAGGCTCAGTCATGCTGGCAGAGCAACCACTCGCATTGCACGCAGCTGCGAAAGCACAGCCAAACCCCTGGAAGACCAGGTCTCCAGGGAGTACAGGTGGGAGAATGGTCTGATGAAGCCTTTGAGCTGATTTAATATCTGCTGGAAAGACCAGGCCTTCTTCTGCCCCCCTTTTGCTCCTCAGCACGCAGTTGGTCCAGTTAGACCCCTTCTCAGAACCTATTCAGCTTGCTTCGCAACAGAAAGCTACTCTCTGTATCCCCAGCAAAGAAATCCAACAGCTTTCTGCTCCACGACTCCGGAATCCCCAGGGTGGTGGAAGGAAGAGGCAAGACCCGCACACTATGCTGGGATGGGATGGAGCAGCTCTGCTCCTCTGAGCACTGAACCATTTAATGTCTCACCACTCTTGTAATAAGCCACGTCCTTGACTACACTTGGTGCTCTGTTTTTTCTCTGTTAGCAGCCAAACAATAGCAAAAGGGTCTGGATGGCACGTCTGGATTCCCCAAGCAACTGCAAGCAACCCCTCGAGCTGATGCAGATGTACTCTTGTAGCCTGCTTACAAGCTGCCTTACTGAATTTGCAAGGGTCTGGGACCAAATGAAGCTACTTCTTACACAACCCTGAGCACACCAACACCCTCTCCGTAAAGTTCTGAAGAAGGCTGCAGCTCTGTCTCCTGTCGCCGCTCACCTGGCGTGCAGTCCTGTGCTTCATCGACAAAAATGGCATCATATCCTGAGAGCTGAGGCTTGCTGAGCTGCCAAAGTTTCAAATACCCTGAGAGAAAGAACAAGGCACGTCAGTGAGAGGGTAATTTTCTCATCATAAAACATCGTGATCTTTAAAACAAGTCCCCCTTTTTTAAAAATAAAATGTTTCTGTAACTTCTCACTTGGACGTTTGGAGGGGTTGCAAAAATCTCTGTTGCTCCCAGATGTTGCTCTCTGTCCCTTGGTGAACGAAGGATGAAAAACAAAACCCAAACCAACCTGACTGCACTGGAGGAAGGCAGCTACGCCGATCACAGAATCACAGAATGTTCGGGGTTGGAAGGGACC